TCATAGTATAATTATAGATCTGTTATCTATGGTTGAGGGTGTTACTTTATTGGTCCTTACGTTTATAAACATTCAGTTTGTATTTGATGCTAGTTACAATAGTCAAGGTGACATAGCTATTGCTATGAAATGATTTACTTGGATAACAACATCTTGATTGCCTTAGGGTCACTAACAGTGGTACTGCCCATTCCTAGAGTACTGGGTACTGGGCCAAAAACACTGCAACTCCTCTCCCAAGTAAAGGGAGTGGTTGGATCCTAGGACAGAGGAAGGGCCAATAGTGAGCCTCCAGAGGACACTGCCAAAAAGTAGAGATTAACCAAAGAGGCCTCCATACTAGAAACAAAGCTTTCCATTATAATCAACTTGTGAGACTCAACACAAAAACAAATAAAAAGCAGAAACATTAGAAGACATGCCAACAAAATGCCTCCCAAAACTCCCAACTTTCCCGAAGCTGACCCAAGGGCATCGAAGGGGAAGAAAACAAAAGCCACATACCCAAATTATTCCAAACGATATCAGTGGAAATAACAAAAAAAAATCAATAAGGCATTTGGCAAGCTCACAGAAGATATAACAGATACTGTGCCACATGAACAAAATGATCAGTGAGTCTACATAAGACATTAATAAAAAGCTAGCAAAGATAAACAAAACGATGCAAAACATGAATGATAAGCATAGAAAAGAATTAGGGTCCATAAAAAGGCTCCAAATAGAAATTCAGGAGATTAAAAATTCCATCGAAAGTGACAACAGAAATGAAGACAGAATGTCAGAATTAGAAGACAGGGCTGTTATTAGTGACCAATTAATGAGAAATACCTTAAAAACCACAGAAAGGAAAAAAGAATCCAATGGGTTCTAGACAACACAGAGTAATCTAAGATTAAATGGAATTAGTAAAAATATCAGAAGATAACACAAATAGCATAGAAGACCTATTTATTGAAATAACAGAATACTTTCCAAATAAGGGAAAATAATATTTAACCTATAGATAAGTGAGGCATATAGAATCCCAAATAGCCACAATCAAGAACAAAACTCTCAACAACACATCATAGTCAAAATCTCAGAAATCCAACATAAGAACAGAATCTTAAAAGTGATTAGAGAAAAGCAACAGATAACTTACAAAGGTAAGCTCATTAGAATTATAGTAGGGTTCCCAACACAGACCTTAAAGCCCAGGAGAACTTGGAGTGAAGTGTTTCAACTCCTAAAAGAAAACAATTTCCAACCCAGGGTAATACAGTAAGTCCCCGACTTACAAACACTTGAGTTGTGAACAAACTGCAGAAGTAGCCCACATGTCTGCTGGACATTGTCATATTTGTGCTGCTGTGTGCTTACTGTACAACGCAATAGTGTATAACAGTACAATGCTCAACCAGAGCTCAGGATGTCCGGAAGCAAGAGAAAAAGCTTTATGTTGTATATTTGTGTCAAAGGTGTGTAAGACTCCCTTTGTCAGACTTACAAAAAAAATCCTACTTAAAATGTTCTCCTGCAACAGAACTTGTTCTTAAGTAGGTGACTTAACGTATATTTTGCAAAACTATCTTTCAAAAATTTATGGAGAAATAAGATACTTTCATGATAAAAAGCACCTACAGAAATTCATGATTGCCAAATTGGCACTCCAAAAGATTTTCAAGGATATTGCAGAAAGAGACAATGAAGCTTACAATGACAAACAGTCTAAGAGAATAAATACACCAGGTAGGGTGAGCAGTTAAGTAGAAGGGAAAGAGAAAATCAGCAACAGGAAAGTAAGGCAATGACAAGAATAAGTCAATACTTACCAGTAATAACTCTCAATGTGAATTGTTTCAATTCTCCAATCAAAAGACATGAGAAACAAAATTCAACAATATGCTGTATATAAGAAGCACATTAACCAAAAAAGGAACTCATAGATTGGAAAGTAATGGATGGAAAACAACATTTCATACTATAGGAACCCCCCACAAAAAAACCAAGTATCTATCCTACATTCAGAAAAAATGGACTTGAAGCCAAAAATAATCAAGAGGCAAAAAAGGTCACTATATAGTGGTTAAAGGAACAAGTCAACAGGAAGAGATAACAATTATTAATATATGCACCAAACAACAGCACACCCAACTTCATAAAACAAATACTACTGAAGATAAAAGACCAGAAAAACATAAATACAATTACAGTGGGGGACATCAATAACCCCACTATCACAGATAGACAAAATTCAACAAAGAAATATCAGAGTTGAACAAAACCTTTAAACAAATGGACCTGATATATAGTTATAGAGTATTCCATCCAACAACAGAATACACATTTTTCTCAGCAGCACATGAAACCTCTCCAAAACAGATCATATACTAGCCAATAAAGCAAGCTTTAAAAATGTAAAAGAACTGAAATTATCCCATTCATACTATTAGATCATCCTGCAATAACTAGAAATCAATGACAAAAAAATCCCACAGAAATTATGCAAATACACGGCAACTAATCAGAACTTCAGAATACAAAGAAAATAGTCCTAAGAGAGAAGTTTATAGTAGTGAATGCCCTCATCACAAAACAGAGCAAGCCCAAATAAATAACCTAACAATACACCTCAAGGCCCTAGAAAAACAAGAACAGTCCAAACTGAAAGCTTGTACAAGGAAGGAAATTTAAAGATGAGAGCAGAAATCAATGAAATTGAGAACAAAAATAACAATACAAAGAATCAGTGAATCAAAGGGCAGGTTCTTTAAAAGAATCAAACCCTTAGCCAGACTAACAATAAACAAACAAATAAATGGAGAGAAAAGACACAAATCAATACAATTAGAAATGAAAAAGGTGAAATCACAATGGACACTGCTGAAATCAAAGATTATTAAAAATTACTTCACAAATCTGTACTCCAATAAATTGGAAAATTCAGAAGAAATGTATAGATTCCTAGGTATATATGAATTACTAAGGCAGAACCAAGAAGATTTAAAAAACTGAATAATCCTGTAGCAGGCAATGAAATGGAAGCGGTAATAAAAAAAGAACCTACCAAATATGAAGAGTTCAAGGTCCAGATGGATTCACTGCTGAATTCTATAAAAACTTTAGGAAAGATCTAACACCAGTACTCCTCAAACTCTGTAGAGAAACTGAAAGGAATGTAGTACTCCCAACATCATTTCTGAAAGCTACCATTAACTTGATTCCAAAACCGGACAAGAACTGAATCAAAAAAGAGAATTACAGATCAATCTCTTTAATGAATATAGATGAAAAAAATCCTCAACAAGATACTGGCAAACAGAATGCAACAAATCATCAAAAAGATCATACCTCATGACCTCGTAGGTTTCAACCCAGGAATTTAAGGATGGTTCAACATAAGCACATCAATAAATGTAATAGATCACATAAACAGAAGCAAGAACAAAAATCACATGACCATCTCAATAGATACAGAAAAAGCCTTTGATAAAATACAACATCCATTCATCATAAAAAGCCTGAAGAAAATAGCTTTAGAAGTATAGACAGACCTTATCTCAATCTCATAAAAAACATTTGTGACAAATCAATGGTCAACATCATATTACATGGGGAAAAGCTGAATGTTTCCTAAAATCAGGAAGAGAAGGGTGTCCACTATCACCACTCCTGTTCAACACAGTACTCAAAACATTGACAAAAGCAATTAGGCAAGAAAAAGAAATAAAAGGGATATATATATATGTATATCTACATTCATATATATATTGAAGTATGTATATTCACATATATATTCATATATATTTTCATATTTATATTCATATATATATGTATGAATGAAAAGAATTTCTAGGCATGATCCTCTACATTGACTACCCCCAAAAATTCACCAAAAGACTCTTAAAATTAATAACCAAGTTCAGTAATGTAGCAGTATATGAAATCAACACACAAAAATCAACAGGATTCCTGTATACCAGTGGTAATGAACCTATAACATGCATGGCATAGCTGGCTGTTTGTTATCACTGAAAGGTATACCTTTGGTGATTTCTCAAAAAATTAAACATAAAATTAATATGTGATCTATCAATTCTACTTTAGGGTAGATATACAGAAGAACTAAACTTGAACAGATACTTGTTTGCCCATGTTCACACCAGCATTATTCTCAATATCCAAAAGGTAGAAACAAACCAAATGTCCATCAAAAGATGAATGGGTAAACAAAATCCAATATATCCTTATAATGGAATATTATTCAATGAAAAGTAAGGAAACATGCTATAACATGGATGACTACTGAAGGTAAAGTGAACCTTAAGGCTAAGTGAAAAAAGTCAGCTATAAGGACAAATACGTATAATTCCACTTATCTGAGAAACTAAACGCAGTCAAATCCATAAAGACAGAAAATAGAAGAGTGGATGCCAAAGTCTGAGGGTAGGGAAGAAGAGAGAGTTACTACAGTATGTGTTCAGAGTTTCAGCTGGGAAAAATGAAAAGTGGTGGAGATATCTGGGCCTGGTTGTGCATGCCTGTCATTCCATCTACTTAGGAGGCCACATAGGAGGCTTGCAAGTTTGAGGCCCCCATGAGCAACTCAGCAGACCCAGTTGCAAACTTAAAACAAAAAACAAAATAGGCAGAGGTTAGGGATGTAGCTTGTGGTAGAATACTTGCCTACCATGGTTTCAAACTCCTAACACTGCCAAAAAACAAAAAACAAGTACTGGACCTAAGGTGGTGATAATCACTGCACAACTCTGTAAGTATGCTTAATGCCATACAATTGTACACTTAAAATGGTTAAAATGGCATGTTTGATGTTACCTATCCTTTACTACAGTAAAATAATGCAATGGAGCTCTCCCTAAGCAAGTTATCAGAATTAACGGCAAAACATTACCTCTGAATTTGATTTTATCATTGCTGTCTCCTCACTTCAATAAAATATCTTTCAATGTTTTCAATTTTTCTAAATAATTCCTTTACTAGACAAATGAATATATTACCTCCTGAATTTCTTTTTCTAGTAGGTCCGCTCTTTCTCGAAGGTGTCTTCTCTCTGTATCAATAGAAAGAAGTTCCAGTCGAACTGAGCTGCTTTCTCCTTCAGCTTGATGGGCTTTGATTTCCCAGTCTTCAGCACAGTTATGAAGCATCTGGAATCTATCTAACAAATCTTGATTTTCTTGCTCCTGGTGTAAGGACAATGAAATTATTTCTAAATTAGTAAACTATCATTCATAGGGAACACCCATGTCATAAACACATACACACATTGGGAATTTCGTTCTAATTTAAGAACCATCAGATATCTGTACAGGCATTACACTAAGATCTATGGGGAAATATGGCAGTAGGCAAGATCTACCAGGCAGAATAAATAAACAAACATGAGAAAAATCAGTCTTCCATCCAACTCAAGCAATGTTTTTCACCTTAGCAGCCATTAAGCTCTCCCATCGGGACACCTCAGTTATGTAATTATGAACTCTACTCTTCATTTCTTCTTTTTCTTGAACTGCTGCCTCCAATTCCAATGAGATTTCCTGTAATCAGATATTAAAGACTGTTTTACAATAATCACAATATGCCAAATGATGTCCCTTTATATTCAAATAGTTCCTTTGGAATTGGAGACTATGAGAGAGTAGTAAAAAAATGAAAACTGTTCTAAAGGGTTATTTTTACATATGTTTCCTAGTAGATACTAACTTTTTTTTGTTTTGTTTTGTACCAGGGATTGAACTCAGGACCTTGAGCTTGCAAGGCAGGTGGCAACAGCATTGAGTTAAATCCCCAGCCCATGGATGCTAACTTTTAAAGCCATCTTTCCCACACATCTTCCATAATAGTCCTCACCAAGCATCTGATTTTTACAAAAAGGGCTAGTGATGGTCAAAAGTTGACTATCATATATTCATATATTAACAATATGCTCTGTAATGAAAAATACTGAAAGTAATTTTTTAAAACATAAACTATTTAAAATTACCGGTCTTCTTGGTATAATGGTTTAATAAACCAGTACAAACAAAAATCACTACATTCCAGTGTTTGCCATTCTAAAATATTCACCAATTTATTTACAAATATGTCAAACCCAAAAGAGGTACATATACTTAAAATCTGTCACAGATCCTTAATATACAGACATGTTTTCCTGTGAGTGATACTCAGGTCCTCACTCACAGTATGACAATGACTTCTGCCAAAGAGAATTCCAAGCTCCCAGCTTTAGGTGCTCTTACAACAAAGGCCAAAATGGTGAGAACTCAGCTGTACCCAAGGGACAGTATGAACTACAAGTTTTAATACCCTGACAAATACCATTCTCCTTAAATAATCCATTATGTTACTTATATTTGTATCTTTACATTTTAAAAGAAAACAATAATTTACAGCTTTAATAATTTAGTAAACAAATAGATACTATACTATGAAACTACCAAAGTTTATGCATTATATCTGTACCTGATTTTCTCTTGCCATTGTAGCCAGATCATCTTGTAATCTTCTGTTTTCCTTGAAAGATATTTCTCTAGACTTTCCTACTTCATCAAGTTCTTTGAGAGTTGTATCAAGCTGACGCCGGAGGCTGCTTATCTCCCGGTCTCGATTACTCAGTGTTTCCTTTAGTTGGCTGTTAAAAAGTGATATGGAAATAATAAAGCTCTTGAGAGGCCGGGGATTTAGCTCAGTGGTTATGCTGTCTGCCTTGCCAGTGCAAGGACCCGAGTTCGATCCCCAGTACCAAAAAAAGTTCCTGAAAAACTGTAGTTCATTTAAATGAAAACTACTGAAGTCTGAAACAAGTATATTAAGAATACAATTCTAGCCAGGGATTTAGCTCAGTGCTTTCGCCGGCTGCTGCGCAAGCACAAGGACCTGAGTTCAATCCCCAGTACCAAAAAAATAAATAAAAAAGAATACAATTCTAGGGGCTGGGGATTTAGCTCAGTGGTTCTGGCTCCTGCCTTGCAAGCACAAGGTTCTGAGTTTAATCCCCAGTACCAAAAAAAAAAAATACAATTCTATAATTATAACTGCTACATTTAGATCAATTAGGTAAAGCAGTTTAGATCTCTACCAATCATTATATGCAAATGAAGCCATAAAAATATATTATTCCAAAAGCTACATAAACACAGAAAATTTCTAAGCGTTAAGAGCTAAATGTAATAGATTCAACTGGTAAATAATACTGAATGAATATTAACACTCCCACTCATATCAAACATAAAGGTATGTAACTTAAGTGTACATAGTGACTTTTGTCTTTAACTAGCTTACATTTTTTTTGAAAGACTAGATATAAAATATAAAATTGTAGCCAGGAGCCCATACCTGCAATACCAGCACTCAGGGAGGCAGAAGGAAGAGTATCACAAGTTCTAGTCCCACCTGAGTTCTAGACCTCATTTCAAAACAAAAATAAAAAGGGCCAGGGATATAGCTCAGTGGTATAGTGCCCCTGGGTTCAAATCCCAGCACCAAAAAAAAAAAAAAGTAAATTTGAAAACAGTGCTCAGGATAAGTTTAGAACGAAGAACAAATCTAAAATTGGCTACTAACGTAAACTTTAATGATTAGGATCTGAGCTCAGTAATTAGAATAAAAATATAGAGCAAGTAGAAATGTAAATGAATAATTAGTAAGACCTAAGTGTTTGGATGTGGAAGACAGGAATTAAAGGATGACATCTGGGGGTGGGGGGTACCGGGGATTGAACTCGGGACCTTGCGCTTTCGAGGCAGGTGGCAGAACCACAGCTAAATCCCAGCCCCAAGGATGACATATTTTTAAGCAAGAGACAGGAAACAATGTCACTGCCAAAAATGGAGAACAAAAAAGAAATTTTCCTACTGTTGAACTGCTACTAAATAGACAAAAGTACCATCACTGAAAATGTCTTTAAATGCTGAATGCCATTTCATTAATTACTTACTTCATAGATAATTCATATTCTGAGACAGTTATCTTCATCTGAGCAACAGCTTTTTCCTATAGAAATTATAAAAAAAATAAGATTCTAAACCATTCATACAGAAATATCTCTAGCTAAATTTGTGTAATCTACTACATTTGTATAGTTAAGTATATCATTCAATCCTATAAATCATGCAGAAAAGAAAGATCCAAGTATATTTTCAAGTCCCATTTACACTTCACATACTGGCATATTTCTACCCACTCCAAGAATTTGAATGGTTTCTTTGGAGTTTGCTTTAATAAGATCTGATAAAATAAATTTCTAGAATTAGGTAATATTCAAATTAGGTAAGATTCAAATTATTGTGATAAAAAGAAACTTAAACATATTAGAAGACATGGCCTTGGGTCTGAGGAACTTATACACAGGTGATAAGAACTGCATGTTGAAACAGCATAAAAAAATCTTTTGACACTGAAAACAATATTTAACAATCACATACTTTACTAGCCAGGATTTCCTGCAAGTTTGCAATCTTTTCTGTCTTCTCATCCACCGTCTCCTGGAGGAAGTCTTTCTCTTTATCAATAACACCAATAGTCTTTTTCATTACATGAGCCTCTTCATTCTGTGAAGTCATCTTAAGGTTTAGCTCACCTGTAAATGAAAAGAAATGTTTGTTAGGCAAAGTAAATTTGTATTACCAGAAACTAAATTGAAAAACACTTACCTATTTTTTCCTCCAGTATTTTAATTTGTTCTTGGGCAGATTCAAGTTCACCTCTTTTTATGGACAGTTGGTGCTGATAGTCATCAAGAGACCGCTGTAGCTGGTCATTTACTACTCTAAAGATCAGAGGACAGAAACAAATGGTATCAGGACCTTGCACTTGTGAGGCAGGTGGTGGCACCACTGAGCTAAATCCTCAGCCCCACAAATGGTATTCTTTATCTCTCAGAATAATAATTATTAAAAATAAGATGTCTTAAAATTATTTTTAAGTTTCTTTTGTTTATTTTAAAGCACTTCCAGTATTAATGGCATTATATTATGTATTATTTCTTGCTCTTTCTTTATTTCCCAAATGGTTCCATCTTCCTAAAAATAATATGGCATAAAATTTGAATAATATGTATTGTTTTCTGAAGGTTTCTTGATAGTTTTAAGCTCCTCTCAGTTTCCTAAGACCAACCCCCCTTCCTTTAAAATCTATTTCTAATAGTGGAGGCAAAAAGAAAGTCCTATTCTTACAGCACAGCCTAGTATTTTGAAGGACTCAACATAAATCCTAACCCCAGTTTGAACTCATAAGTTTGCTTTTTACTCTGACTTTCTGAATAGTTGGTCAACTAGGGTTCATAGAAGAGAAGGAAGGCATTTCTTGTAGTGCAACAGTGATTTAAGACTAAAGACTGGCTTTAGGGAACTAAGGAAAGGAGGCATGGAAGTCTAGGCAGTCATTAGTAAAGACAATTTCAGAGGAGTCTGTCACTGATCAGTAAGATTGTTTTCAGGAACACAGTCTCTGAAAGCTGTAACAGCGAGCTGTGCTCATGTCATGTCTTTAAGAGTCTTTGTACTGGGAGTTCTCATTCTGCCTGACTGAAGAAACAAGGCTCTCGCTCCAGGATATTTGTCAGGTTTCTTTTAGTTTCCTTTGAGGATAAGACAGGGAAGAAGACACCAAGGGTAGCTTAGCTTAGCACTGCCTAATGGGGATGAGGCTTGGATTCCAAACCCACTAGTAAATAGAACATTTCTATTGAAATAAAGAAGCTTCACAGGCAAAACTGAGGTATTTCTGACTGTTCTAATAGCAAGTGAATAATGACCCACAGGTAGGGATGAGAGTCAAACTGGGACTGGCTTCTTTAGAACTACACAACCAAACCAAATCATGTCAGAAACACTGGGTTCAAGCAATATTACTTTATAAATTTCTCTGTGAGGTCCAGGTGACTATTATATTCAAGCTGTTCTTAAAAGCTAGAGCTACTGTCATGTGGGATGTAACAACACAGTGCTATCATAAATGTATTAGCTCATTTACTATTAAAACAGTTCCATAATTAGAACTATTAACCCAATTTTACACAAACAACTAATAAGTTGTCCAAAGTCATACAGCTAGGAAAGGCAAAGAGAAGATGAAAATGTTCTTTGACTATATCAGATTCCCCTCTACATACTATATGGAGAATCCAACATTCTCCATGTGGAAAATGTCTGTCAGGAAGCTATAGACTCCTTCCAGAAATGGAATGGCCCACAGGGTACTTAGTTGATACTGAGCAGCGGGCAGTGCTTGAGATTCTAGGCAGAAATTTAATGATCTCTTTACTTGTAACTTCATATGCAGAGTAATTTTCTGATGCAAGTTGAGTTGATAAAGGAAGGCAGAATAACATCTTGATTTATACACATATAAAGGAAGCCCTTGGATGAGTCCTAAACATAACTCTGCCTTTTTATATTCAAGCAAAGAGGAAAAGGAACAACAGAGCTTGTACACTAGACCCTGGAAATAATTTTTCTGACTGAAGTATCTGTGATAGCTAATCTTTTTCATTTTTTTTTGAAATAGAGTCTTGCTATGTAACTCAGGCTGGCCTTGATCTCACAATTTTCCTGCCTCGGCTTCCTGAATACTGGGATTACAGTGTGCTCCACTGCTCTCAGCTTGTGATGGTTAATCTGGATTGTCACTTTGGTTGGTTTTAGAGACCCCAGGTGATTAGTAAAGTACATTTCTGGGTGTGTCTTATTGGGTCATGGGGCGGTAACCTTGGGGACCACATCTGGTCCATGGTCCCTTCCTCTCAGGCTCCCCCCCCCCCCAACGCTCTCTGCTTCCTGGTTGCCCTGATGTTTCTACTGTGGAGCCAGCCAACCACGGACTGAAGTCTATGAAACTGTGAGCCAGAATAAACCCTTTCTCCTTTGTGTATGTCACCTATTTTGTATTGTTACTAAGATAAAGGTTATTTTCTATCTTTTCTCTTTTTTTTCGTACTAGGGATGGAACCCAGGGGCTCTTTACCACTGAGTTACATCACCAGACATTTTTGCTTTTTAATTTTTATTATTATTACTATTATTATTTTTGTTGTTATTATTAGCATTAAATCCGCAGCCTTCATACCAAGCTACGGTCCCTGCCAAATTTTTTTTTTTTTTTTGTACCGGGGATTGAACTCGGGTCCTTGCGCTTGCGAGGCAGGTGCTGGAACCACTGAGCTAAATCCCCAGCCCCCCTGCCAATTTTTTATGTTTTTACTTTTGAGAGGGGGTCCCATTAACTACCTAAGTTGCCCAGGCTGGCCTCGAACCTGTGATTCTCCTACTTCAGCCTCCCAGAAGGATAGGATTACAAGTGTGTGGTAAATGCCTGTCTTTACTTTTTATTTGAGACAGGGGTGGGACTCAAATTTGCAATCCTCCTGTCTCAGCCTTCCTCCCCCTCAGTGCTGGGATTATAGGTGTGGTCACAGCTTCCAGATGATAAAGGTGTTCTGAATAAAGAACTAGGGTGGAAATCTCTTAGGAAAGAATAGTTGAGTAACTGCCTTATTACTTGTTCATAATTGTGTTTGGAAATGAAATTTTGAGAATGAAGTTGGTAGGAAAAACATGAGTTTCTTAGCTTCAAAAGTACTATAAAACATAGGAAAGAAATAATGGCTTCCCACTACAGTGAAGCAATAATAGTGATCTTGGGTCAAGTTCTAGCTTTCCATCTAACAGACACATGATTGGTTATGTTCATCTCAAATTCCTCGGGTATATTACATTACATGGTATTATACATGCTCTTGTTTTATAAGACACAAGTATTTCCTTTCATGACAGAATGTATTTGAAACAAAGACAGCGTCTTAAATGGTCCTTTATTCATAAGAAGCTGCATCCAATAGAGGTAGTCTTGTAATTGTAATGGGGTAATAGAAGAAAAAGATGTTAATGTGGTATCTCTGTTTTATTTTGGATTTTTCCCAAGAGTCTATGGCTATAGCTCAGCACTCACTGAGCCACACTATTAATAAGTAGCATCTCTTAGTACACAAAGAGGGAAGAGATTTTTTTTTGTACCAGGGATCAAACTTAGGATCTTGTACTTGGCAGGCAGGCGCAATGCCACTGAGCTAAATCCCCAGCCCCGGAAGACAAATTTTGATTGGTTTTTCTTTTAGGTTTCTGCAAGGGGATGGTGCCCTAATTCATTTGATCCTTTAAATTCTAGCTCCAGAAGGTCAGCTATCCTCATTCAGTGCCCTGGCTTTTCCTCCTGATTTTGGTAGGAAAAAAAATGTTACGTATGCCCAAAAGACAGCTTTTAGGCATCCTAGGTAATCTGTGAGCCTTATTTCCTTATCTAAAATATGTTTAATCCCTTAAAAATAAATATTTCTGAAAGGAGATCAGTTCTGACAAGAGTTTATGGGTCATTTCCAGGAAAATCTGCTATAGTACTTATTTATCCTGAATAAGTATATAACTCTTTGGTTTCGACTGGTGTACAATGATAAAGACTACAGTGAACTGAGACAGTATGACATATTTCCACTCTCTACTACTGTAATCTCAATTGTTTATAGAGTCTCACAGCCAGCAGTTGTGAGGATCAAGGATTTTAGGGGTCAACTGAGAAAAGTTAATTATCTAACTGGGCTGGAAACAATTTATCCTTAAGTAGAAGATGACAAACCATAGCTAACTGATTATTTTTGCAAGTTCTAAAACATACAAATGATTTTTACATGTTTAAATGATTAAAAATAATTTTCAACCAAAAATGGTTAATTTGCGACATGATAAAATTATGTGAAGTCCAAGTTTCAATATCCATAAATAAAGTTATATTAAAACACAACCACATTCCACCATTTATATATTGCCTGCAGTTAATTTTGAGCTACAAAGGCATCGTTATGTAGGTGTGACAGAAACTGTATGGCCCACATAGTCTTAAAACGTTGACTGACAGTTCATAGAAAGTTTGTTGACCCTAGCTCTAGAGTGGCTAGCATGCTCTGAGGAGCAAAAAGGCATATTTCCTGCATACAAAGACATTCTTTTACTGCATTATGGAGTTCAGATTTGGGGTATAAAATCTCAGGTCTCAATAAATCCTACAATTCAAGGAAGAAAACAGTCATTTAACTCTAAAAAGTTACAGAGGTTTTATATTAAGCCCCTGATGTTACATTAAGGGAGTGGATCAAAGGCCCTCTATCTCAACAATTAGAGACTATGCCTGGTATAGAAAAGCCTGTTTGGTGGCACTGAAATTTGGTGAAAAAATACCTGATGCAGGAAGGAAAGAAGAAGGTCCACGAGGTGGATGGAAAGGAACATGTGCCTCATATACCTGAGAATCAACTCCTCACATGTGTTCACATAAAGGAAAATAGAACTGATGTGATAAAAGGAGTATCAAGAGTTCTTTCAATCATATCAAAAGTGGCACAAATTTGGATAAGGTATCATGCTTCCAGAGAGGTCTGGGTATTGTGGTTTGTATTGGGTCAGCTTTAGATTTAGAGTAAGATAAGTCATTTTTCTGTCAGAGCAAAACAGTTATGAAATCATGCAATATACGTGAGTTATAAAGGATAGAACAATTCTCACAATCTATTATAGCATAGTGACTGAATGACTCCTGGGTAGGGGAGAGGCCAATTGAGCTCATGAGAAAAAGGGATATTAGCTTAAGAAGAAAAACCAAGGAAAGGAAACAGGTATTGTAGCTATATTCTGAAGAAAAAGCAAAATAGATTAAGTGCCAGATCCAGTCAGCTGGATACAAAAGTAAAAAGAACAGATTAGTAAATGCTTTTTTCTTTACAGTACTGGGGATTGGGCCCAGGGCAAAGGCTGTAACACTGGCCACATCCCCAGCTCTTTGTAGTTTTTGAAATAGAGTCTTGGTAAGTTCTCTAGGTTGCCCTTGAACTTGGGATCCTCCTGCTTCAGCTCCTAAATCACTGGGATTCCTGGGTGTATCACCACGCCTGGCCAGATTAGTTAATTCTGAGAGATGAACACACACCATGATATCGTTACTTTGAAGCTGAATATAGACATTGATCAGAAGAGGGCTGGCCCTCTCAGGTCTCCTTCCCAGAATATATGCAGTGCTTGCAAAGAGGAGAGATGAGGGTGAGGAAAGGTGGGTAGGGACAGGGGAGGGGAGCACAGCAGAGGGGCAGCATCTATTTCGGTTCTCCCTAAAGTCTACCTTATAAAGACAAAAAAAGTGACACTGAAGATGCCTTAAAGGAGACTCAAATATATTCCTTAATTGACCACAGAAACCAGTGCTTCACCTTACTGCTTTATGCTGTTTGATAATTAGGTAACAATGAACTACAGTCTCAGGCTTTTCTTTTCTTAATTATTCCTTTGATTCTCACCTTTGCTGTGTCTATTTTACTACATACTTCTGTGATTCTTAGTTTTTGTATACTGAATGTGTGTCTTTTTTTTCTCATTATTCCTTTTTGTCCTGACTTCTAGGTAAATTTCGTGAGTTTGTTCTCGATTTCACCAGCTCGGTTTTCTGCAACAGCCAATCAATCCACTGTTCAAAAACCCTTCAGTTTTAATATGTTCATTTCTTTTAAAATTATCGTTATTACAGTCCTTTCTGACTGCTTCAGTTTCACAGATGTAATATTTTGTTGGCATTTGAAAATCTTTTCCTGATTTTACTGTAAATATAATTTAGAGAAAGATTTCCTCTGACTTCAGCATAGTGCTTTTCTGCTGACCTTTGGTATCTTTTTACTTATAGCAGCTATGCAATCCAGAAAAAAACTAACTTTGTTGGCCTTTTGTTTCCGTGAGTCTTCTGTATTCAAAAATAGTTAATGGCTAAACAACAACTTAGTACCTTAAGGCATACATTCTGAACTATTATATATAGAAATACATAAATCAGCCAAGCCTTTTGATTTAATATAGGAAATATTTCTTCAATCTGAAGATTGAAGAACTGTTGCCCAAATTCACACCACCATGTTCAGTATAGATCTTTGGACTCCACTCTTTGTTTATCTGTCTCTAAGACCACAAATTCATGTTCCACATTTCCATCAAACTTAGCTTTCTAGAGGGTACACTACTCATGGACCCTCTTTTGTTAAAAATTTGTTTCTAGGCTTGAGATGTAGCTCAGTAATACAGCACTTGCCTAGCATGCTCAAGACCCTGGGTTCAATTTCTAGCACCACAAAAGATTTAAAAAAAGATTTACTCAGCAAATTAGAACATCAAAGATCTGCCCCTAAGTCCTTATTTTTCAAAAGCTCTCGGGTGATTCTGCTGCAAGGTCAAAGGTACAGTTTAAAACTCCATGGACATGAATCTTACATACCTAGAAACATTTTCCCAGAAGTGAAACAAAAATTTCAATAAACTTACCTAAGGGAGTTCATCTCTGTTTTTTGATGGGATGAGTCACCAGCCACATGGCTAAGCTTTTGAGCTTGGAGTTTTGATTTGTTCTCTAGTGACTCTATTGTTTCTTTCATTATTAACACTTTAGATTGTAATTCATATTTTTCACTTTCAAGCTATAATTTAAATTTAAAAAATTAACAGGCATATTTTTAGGGTCTTAATTTTATTTTTCATAGGCACTTTTTAATAATATTTCTGGAAGAAAAGAAATTAGATTTATTTTTTAAATTTAAGAGTCAGGTTCGAGATGTCAGAATAGGCATACCCATTTACTTCTCTTCCCATTAATAAAATGAAAGAAAAAAATACAAACAAAAAAAAAAAGAGAAAGAAAAAATAAACCCACGACAGCAACAGAAACAGGAAGGAAGCAAACAAAGCAAGAGTGAAAATTTTGAATACTGTAAAACAAAAACATTAAGTAGATTCAACTAAATTAAGGAAAACCAGAGCAGAAAATGTTGTAAATCAAACCACTACCCTGAATCTTATGTTTCTTTTCTTGCTTTTCCTGTTTGGAAAACAGGGTCTCACCATGTTGTCCAGGCTGACCTCACACTAGTGTCCAAAGTGACCCCCTGCTTCAGGCTCCCAAAGTAGTAGGATAGGCATGTGCCATGGTGCTTAGCTTCTTGCTTTTCTTTGGTGTATCACATTAATATGAATCCCTGAACAGTACACTGCTTAGCTTTACATGTTTCTGAACATTAAACATGTTTCTGAACATTAAACACTTTCTTTAGCAACTCATTTTTTTGATGTAACATTATATTTCTAAGATTCACTTTTACTGTTCATTAATTTTTGCTGCTCTATAATAAATGACTGTATGAATTACAATCATTTATCAATTTTCCATGCAATTGACATCTGGCTTGATTTCTTTATTCTATCAGGAAAGAAGTATTTCAGGCTTTGTGGACGGTATAGTCTGTCACTGCAGCTCCACCAACATGGAAAAGCAGTCACAGACAATAAAGAAACAAATGAGCAAGTCTTGTGTTTGCTAAAAATTCTATTTATAAAAACAGACTGGAGGCTCAATTGGCTTGAGGGTCATATCTGCTGACCCTCCTCTATGGTACATATCTAGAAATGGAATTGTTGGTGCATAAGGTATGCATACCTTTGCTATATAATGACAAATTATTCTACAAAGAAGTACCAATTTGTACTCCCAGGAATTACATATACTTACATACACTTACTAGTACTTGTTAAATTCTGATGACCTGATGGGTATAAAATAATTGAACTAAAGTTTTACTTTGTATTTCTCCTATATTGAGGTAGGATATCTTTTTATATTTATTAGTAATTTATTACTTCTTTCTCCAGAAGTGTCTATTTATATCTGTTGAATTGGGGCGGGAGAAATGAAGGTACAGCAAGTTGCCATCTCAATTAGTGGTTTGTCTTTTCAATTTATGGTTATTAGGTAAACAAACACGTTTTTGTCAATATCGTCTTATTTATCTATGTTTCTTTTCAAGGAATACACTTATGTTAGTAGTATACATTTTGGCACCAGATACCTGTCAGCTGTGTGATCTTGGGCAAGTTTTCTTTCTGCCTGTTTACTTACCTGTTAAATGAGGATAATATTAGCATTTACTTCATAAGATTGCTGTGAGAATTAAAATAATATATATGTATAAAATATTGATAAAAGTACCTGACACATAGTAAATGCTCTTATTATTTCTCCAAGGTTGAGAAGATTTTCTCTTGCATTTCTTTAAAAATGTAATGTGTTTGGAACACTCAAGGCTGAAAATAATCTTGAAATGATTTGAGAGTATGGTATATTTGAGATAGGATCCAATTTTTTTTGTCTTTTTTAAATGCAAATAGCCACTTTTCCCAGAAACAATTACTGAATAATCTTTCCTCTAATCATCAACCTGAGGTTTTGTTTGTATGTTTTGCAGTACAGGGATTGAACCCAGGGCCTTGAGTCTGGTAGACAAGCACTCTACCACTAAGATACATCCCCAGCCCAGTCAGACTTATTTTATACACCAGATTTCCTTATATTTGTAGGTTTGCATTTTCCTGGGTTTTATCGGTCTTCATTATTCCTCATCTTAATTATAATGAGGCAAAGCCCTCAAATGTGGTAGGACAAGTCTAGCACCATATTTTTCTTTAAGACTTCTATATGATTCTTGGCTTTTTGTTTCCATGTATATTTAAGAATTTACTGTCAATTTTCATTAACACACACACCCCCCTTGGGATTTCAGTTGGAATTCTATCAACTCTAGAGAATAATTTGGAGAGAATTTATTTTTATAAACACTGTATCATCACTTTTTAAATCAACTCTAGAGAACAATTTGGAGAATTTATTTTTATAAACACTGTATCTCACATTTTTTGGTACCGGGGATCAAACTCGGGTCCTTGCGCTTGCGCAGCAAGTGGTGAAACCACTGAGCTAAATCCCCGGCTGTATCTCACATTTTTAATAAGCTTGAAACATCTCTCCATTTAATTAGGTCTTCTTTAATGATTTTTAGTGAGACTGCTTAATGTTTTCTGTAAAAATCCCGCAAATTTACCCAGAGGTAACTTATATTTTTTAGAGTATTTATTTTTATTTATTTTGATTGGGATTTGTCATTCTTCTGGAGTTCACTGTGCATTTTGAAAATCAGTGCTTTAGTGTTTAAATTATGCCTAGAAAATAATTAGTCATTATTGCTCCACTGTCTCTCCCACATTCTACTATAAAGTTCTCAAATTGTCTAACATAAATTCGTATTTGACCAAATATACATTAGATCTTCTCACTCTAACACTCTAACATTTTAACTTCTTTTATATTTCCTATTTCCAAATTTCTTTCCAGTAATACACACTGCTTTCTTCAGATGTACGTTCCAGTTTATTCTTGCTTTTAGTTTCTGGTCAAGCTGGAGTGATAGGAATAATTTACTCTCCTACCTGAAATAACTAAAAAATTGGATGAAATATAGCAAATAGTGATTTTCAAGACATGGGACAAAAGACAATAATAGACAGACCCCTGAGATGGGACGCAAAAGAGACAAGCTTTATGAGTGCTCCAGTGCACTGCCTGGAGAATTTTCAGACTGGGGCACAGGAAAGGGAACCTAGATGAAGACTGGTGTTCACTCCAAGTTCAAAAGGCAGGAATGAGAGTCAAGAAGTTGCAAAGAGGGGCTGGGGATTTAACTCAGTGGTTCCAGCACCTGCCTTGCAAGCACAAGGTCCCAAGTTCGATCCCCAGTACCAAAAAAAAAAAAAAGAAGAAGAAGTTGCAAAGATAGTGGACAAGAACTGCAGAAGGAAAGCTCCAAAGATCTATATGGATAATTATCCCTTACGATTCCAGCTGAGCAGAGTTCAGCACAGAGAACTAAGCAACCAAGGCCAGGGAAAGAACCATCAGGAAGGAGAAGGAACAACATTAAAGGCTCATCTAGGGCCAGGAATAGTTCCTGTTTCCACAGGTCATTCAAAAATCTTACCATTTTCAACAGACAACAGGCAGCCTACAGAAAAGGGTTTTACCTCAGGAGTGAAACAGAATTAGTTCAAGACTATATGTTACTTTAGTTCCACCTAATGAATCTTAGAAGCAAGACTAAAAAGGATCAGGCCACTTTCCATATCATTTAACTGAATCCCAGAACAAACTTCAAGGGTATTCATGACAATAGAAACTAGTAATCAACAGGGTAAAATTCACAATGCATGACACACAATCTGTAATTATCAGGAATGCAAAAAAAAGGAGCAATCTATAACACACTATGAGGAGAAAAATCAAATGACTCAGATGGTAGAATTAGAAGGTAAATAAATAAAAGCAGTGATGACATAGCAATAGAAAGTTACCAAAACAGAAAAAAAACTGTCAGAAAGCCCTCCAAATTATTAAAAATCTCACCCCTAGACAGAGTACAGTTATTCATGAGTTCCACATTCACAGATTTAGTCAACTGTGTAGTTAGACTTATGATGGTTGCATTTGTACTGAACATGTACAGAATTTTTCTTGTAGTTACTACTCCCTAAGCAATACAGTACAAGAACTACTTATACAGCATTGATAATGTATTAGGTATTATAAGCAATCTACAAATGATTTAAAATATAGAAGGATATCCATGGGTTATATGCAAATACTATGCCATTTTATACAAGGGATTTGCTCATCCTAGGATTCTGGTATCTAAGGGTTTCCTGGAATCAATCTTCCATGGATATTGTCGAGGGGGGACAGTAATGAAAATGACAGTGAATTTCATTTTTTACTCCATGTGTATATGTTATGTAATTTTTTTATAAGACCAAGCCACAATAATCACTGAGTGCTTAAAATATGCCAGGTGCTCTTTCTTCTGAGTTCTTTATGTGTATTTTAACCTATTTAACTTTCACAAAAACCCTAAGAAGCATTATTTCTACTTTATAAAGAAACTGACAGTCAGAAATATTAAGTAACTTGCTTATAGGTATAACAGGAGACAAAGACAGATCTGAACCAAAGTACTCAGCTTACAGAGTACATACTCCTATTCACTGTTATACAATTTCACTTAGCATATTATTCTGTAATTTTAAAAAAACCAGTGTATTAAAGCTAAAATTGACAGTCATTCATATAATACTATACCCCAAATCAAGTTTGATCAATTACCTGATGATTAACACATGTCAAATGTTCAATAGTTTTCTCTAATTCTGATTTTCCCATAGCACTCATTTCCTGGATATTCTGAAAGAGAATTCAATAGAAAATATTTATTTATATAATATAATAAAGCAAAAGTCACCAAATCATCAAATTAGGCAATACAAGTTTAGACTACTATCATATCTGACTTTTCACAAAGCAGAAATGTCTTAGAAAATCATTAAACATTTTGTAAAAACAATGCTTTTGGTATTAAAAAAAGCACAATAGGTTCTCATTTTTACATTCTCTACTTCCATGTGTGACAGTAGCACAAGACATACATTGGTATGGATTCATTAATAAAGGCTTACACAGCTCAGTCCATATTAGCACAACGATATAAAGGGAAAAAATCAGCAGGCTAAGCAACAAACTCTGAAGTATGCCCTCAGAAGAGAAGATGTTAGGGGAAAAAAAAGCAAAACAACAGGGTACAAGAAAGGAAATTTAAGATCAGGAAGACACAGGAAATGGAATCCTACAAGATCATTTAAGAGATCAGAGCTTCAAAAATGGGCTAGTCATTTTGTTTACTCTCTCTCTCTCTCTCCTCTCCTCCTTTTTTCTTGCAGTGCTGGGAACTGAATGCAGGGCCTCACACATACTAGTCAAGTGCTCTACCACTGAGTTTGGCTCACTTGCCCCCCTTTTCAAAAAATATTTTTCAGACAAGTTCTCACGAAGTTGCTAGACTGACCGCAGACTTTCAATCTTCCCGTCTCATACTCCCCAGCAACTGGGAGCATCACTGTGCTGTAATTATTTTATTAAATCATTTATTGTTTATTAAATCACTCAACCAGTATTAATTGAATATATGCTCTATACAACGTATCAAGTAAAGTGCTGGGATACAGCAGTGAATGAAATGGACAGTCTCTGACTTCATAGGTATTAGAGGCTATAGAAAAAAGACTTTAAACAAGAGACTAAAAATAATATTCAGGAATATTTTTCTAAGGAACTTTATGCTCATGTATCAAAAGCAATCTAGAGTCTAAGGTTCACTTCCTGTCAGAAAATGATGTTTAATCTGGACTTAAAGGATGAATTACCTAGACAAGGGGATTTCAAGGGATGAAGAAATCTTTCAACAGCTACACAGATGGCCTCATACAAGAAAAAGTCCATTAAGCTTGGAGCCCTGAGAAAAGGGGTATAGGGAGGGTGAACAGCAGAAGCAAATTTATGGAAAAGAAGTAATCACTAAAGTCCTTGAAAATAATTAATGGATTTTAAATACAAAGTGATGGGACTGGATTTGTATCTTTGAAAGATGACTATAACTTCAGCGTTAAATATAAGTCTGAGATGAACAAAATGAAGTACAGAAGCCTGTAAGATAATACAGGTGAGAGAGAATAATGACTGAATAGAATGTTACAAAGAGAATACAAAGATGTAAACAAAATTAGAGAAAAATAACATAAACTTGGGAACCAGACTCCTTGTGACCCATTGCTCAGTGAGGTTAAGTAAGATATTTGAACTTGGTGTAACTCAAGAGACCTCATCTGTAAGCAGTTCCTAACAAACAGAAAAGACTTTTATGAAGATTTACTGAGATAGCTCATGTAAAAAACACTCAAACAGAACCTCTCACATGGAAAAGGCTTAATAACTGTTCAGTATTTTTTAAGAGGCAGCACTGATAGGACTTATTAATTGAGACAAAAATTTTCAGGGAGCATTTAGTAATACTGTCTAGACTTGCAGAGGAAGCTTAATGATCCAAATGAACAGTGCAGTTTTTAAGTAAAGGGCCTGTTGTAAACTTACAAAATCCTGCTACCAGAAGGATTCTGGTAATTTGATTATTGCCTCTTCCAAGTTTTCAGTAATATCACATTTTTAAAATCCTATTTTTACACTCTTTGTGGTCATTTTAACAGATAAGAAAAAGGATAAGTCAGTAGATCGTGCTAAAAGCTGCCATATTGCACAGAAGTTTTCCATTTGGGAATCTTAACACTTTAAAAAAAAATCAGAAAACACTTTCTGGAAGGCAGTATTCCAAAGATTCCAATTAAAAACATTCTTAAACTATATTTTGGGGGTAAAACTTTAACTGAAAATTTGTGACATAAAGACTATCCTTAAAATGCTTGGTTGTTTTATTTTTAATTTTAGGTCCTCCATCTTTCCTTTCTGTGGTGTTGAAGATTAAACTCAGAGCCTCTACAAGCTAGTCAAGCACTCTAATCACTGAACTACTTCCCCATCCCTATTGTGCTTTTATTTTGAGACAAGGTCTCATTAATTTGCTCAGGCTGGCCTCGAACTTATGATCCTCCTGCCTCTCGCTTCCTAAGTAGCTAGGACTACAAGCATGTGCCACGGTGCCCAACTGCTGGCTGCTACTTTCAAAGCATTAATTTCATAATATTAACTGCAAGTAAATTATGAGATCCATAATGACAATATTGAATATTATAACGTGCTGAGCACTGTAAAGTGCTTTGCATGTATTAACATATTGTTTGGGATAGTAACAGGAAATATAAAATACTGTCCCCAAGAATGACACCAAATGTACAGGTGACAAAAGAAAAAAAAAGTAGATAAATTAGACTTTATTTGAAATAAAAACTTCTGTGCCTCAAAGATATCATTAAGAAAGTAAGAGGATGACCCACAGAATGGGAAGAAGTATTTGCAAATCACATATTTGATAAGGGGTGATTATATCAAGAATATATAAAGAACTCTTACAAATCAATAATGAAGTAATCCAATATAAAAATGGACAAAAGATCTGAATTTCTCAAAGAAAAAAAAAAAAAAAAAGATCCCTTCTGCTGCTCCCGGCCCAGAGGTAGGGGCTTCTGAGCCACCATCCCACTGCTCCTGGTACAGAGGAAGGGGCTTCCGGGCCACCATCCCTCCTGCTGCTCCCAGCCCAAAGGAAGGGGCTTTTGGGCCACCTTCTGTCCCGCTGCTCCCGGACCAGCGGTAGGGGCTTCTAAGCCACCGTCCCACTGCTCCTGGTCCAGAGGAAGGGGCTTCCCAGGCACCATCCCTCCCGCTGCTCCCAGCCCAGAGGAAAGAGCTTTTGGGCCACCTACTGTGCCTTCTGTCCCGCCTCTCCCGGCCCAGAGGAAGGGGCTTCTGGGCCACCACCCCTACTGCCACTCCCAGCCCCTGTCCCACCTCTCCCAGCTCAGAGGAGGTGATCCACGCAGGAGCCAACAGCCCCCCGCCCCCCAGTCGAAATGAGAAAACACGTAAATAAATCTCAAAATCAGACTTCCAGATCACCTACAGCAACCCCAAAGGGAAATGAGATGGAACACTCTGATACTCAACCACCTGGACCCACTGAACTGGCAACAA